GGGGACACTACCTGTGAGAAGGAGGGGAGGGGTTAGGGAAGGGAATGCTGCTGCGATTAAGGGAAGGGAATGCTGCTGCAAATCGCAGCAGCTAATTACGGTGACGCTGCTGCTGAACCGCAGCAGCGTGACGGCGACACTGCCGCTGTTCGGCAGCAGCGTCTCGCAGCAGGGGGATGGAGGGAGGGGGATGGGGAGGGAGGCGGCGAGCGGCACCGGTGGAGGCGGCGGAGGTGAGGAGAAAAGTTGAAAGAAATGAAATGGATTAGATTGGGTTAGGATTTGGATAGAGTTTGAGTTTTATTGGTGGGGTAGGTATATATATTATTTTAATTTTATAATACTATTATTAAGTAAAAATAATAAAACCTGATTTTTGATTAAAAAAAGCTTAAACCCGATTTTCATAAATTGAAAACTAAATAACCGGTTTTATGTAATTACCACTTAACTAATGGCCCGCCAAATGGCATATTATGTGACTCTTTTGGAACGCCAGATGGTCCAACTCAATTTCCTCTAATGCAAATAAACATAAAATCCAATGGTTGGCCAAATATCGGATAATTAATCAAGATTTGTCAGAATTTAGCTCTGCTTTGGGACAGAATGAAAGAAGCGAGGGTATTATCGAACTTTCCAAAGCTTAAAACCGCGTACGTGTAGTCCATCAGCATACCACAATTGAGATTTCTAGTGCTTCCAAGGAACAAGTGCCCTAAATATATGCATCTCGAGGGGCAAAAATTCTCGAATTGTGTTAAATTTTATCATACATTAAAACAAAAGAACATCGGAAGATTAAAAGCATACTCATATTTCAAGTGAATCAGTTCAAAATATCTAAAACCCACACTCCTGTGCACTGTTTTACAAAGGATAGATGCAAAATACAAGAAAAAAATGTGGAACACCAGAAATTTAGCAACAAAAGTTATCAGTTGCCATTTATGCTTCGAAGAATTCTTCTGTAGTCGCTCAATGTTATATCTGTATTTCTGTCAGGGGGAACATGGTGAATAATCTTGGGTGGTTTACGACCATTTGGATAAGGATAAATGGTGGCCAGTTCACAAACGCGGCGTAGTATAGGCTTTGGCAAAGGGCGCCAAGCCAGATTCCGTTTCTTCTCCCCCTGAATGTGGACATGTCAAAGGTCACAA